TGATAATGCCAACCAAAGAAGAGATGCATGAGCACATCAAAAGTGCAACATGGAACAGTCATAAATGGGACCAATGCATCACACCATCACTAAACCATGAATGAGATCTAATCCAGGAAGGTGGACTCATTCATTATAATGGACAAATCTATATACCACAGGACAACAAGTTGTGAGGGGAGATCATTGCCATCAGTCATGACCACATGACAGCCAGCCACTCGGGTGTTGCCAAAATGAAGGAGTTAGTCTTGCACAATTGTTGGTGGCCTAAAATGGGAATTGATGTCATCAACTACATCAAGGAATGTGAAGTATGCTAAAGAAGCAAGTCATCAACAAGACCATAGGCAGCACCATTACATCCAAATGAGGTCCCATCATCCCTATGGATTCATATTTTGGTAGACATGATCATGGGACTACCCAACTGCAATGGCTATGACACCATACTGGTCATTGTTGATCGATTCTCAAAAGCAATTATTCCTGTCACTTGTTTTATGGAACTCAACTCTGAAAGGTGGGCAAAAATATTGCAAGATGAAGTCTATGCCAAATATGACATGCCCCAAGTCGTCATTTCCAACTGAGACCCCCAATTCATCTCAAAATTCATTGCTGACCTGTATCGCCTGCTAAATATCAAACAAAACACATCGATGGCATATCACCCTCAAACTGATGGACAAACAGAGTGCATTAACCAAGAAATAGAAAAGTACCTTCAATTGTTCATCAGTTATCGACAGGATGACTGGGTTGAATGGCTCGCTCTCACAGCATTCCAACACAATAATCAAGTACATTCAGCAACAGGAAAGATGCCTTTCTTTATCAACTATGGCAGACATCCTCTCATTTTCCAAACAAAACATCACCATACATTGATGCCAGCATCATCAGATTTTGCCACCACAATGGCAAACATACATGCCAAAACCAAAACAGCACTTGAAAAAGCAGCCACATCAATGAAAAAACAGTATGACAAGCACTGTCACCCAGTGCACAAATATTCCATTGGGGACAAAGTTTGGCTAGATACCATGAACCTATACCTACCTCAACCGAAAAAGAAGTTGGCAGACAAATGTACAGGGCCATTCCCTATCACTACCAAAGTCGGGCATAGCACTTACAAATTACAGTTACTGACACTCTGGAAAATCCACAACGTCTTCAACAAAACACTCCTCTCCCCATATGTCACACCCACATTCCCAAACCAAGAAAATGCACCACTGCCACCTCCTGACTTGATTGATGACAAAGAACATTATGAAATTGACTAAGTCCTCAACTATAAGCTACGAAAAATCAAAGCAAAGGGCAGCAGCATGACAACTATGATTGATTACTTAGTTAGCTGGAAAGGCTATGGCCCAGAATCTAACCAATGGGTAAATGAAAAACACATGCAGGCAGACAACACCATATGGGACTATGAATTATCTCTTAATTAAGCCATCGAGATGATGGTCTTAAGGAGGGGGTAATGTTACGATTTTCTTCCTTTTAAATCCTTAACTCCTATTTATGCTTAGTCACAGCACCCAGAATGGACACCTGGTGACTGTGGGACAAGGCTTAGTCAGCACAACAAGATCGAGCAACTGTTCAATGAC